GAGCAGCCAATGTCAGCCAGCAGACAGGAGGGTGAGAACATTGGCTGCAAGCCCACGCGCATGTCCTCCTCTGCCGGGGCACTCTGATGGGACTGAAGATGCGAGGGAGCGGGGATGGCAGACAGCGGAGGGCATGGCCCCGGAGCATTCAGAATTCCACCTGCAGGGGCCCGGCATCCTTGCACAGGGCCAGCCCAGCGCACCAGGCTTTCCTGTTCGCTCCCTTCTCTTAGCAGCTCTTCTGGCTTTGCCTCTCATGCTGGGAACACCAGCCTGCAGGATGGTGCCTCCTTATCCCCCCCAGGAGCCGGCTGGTGCTGTCTGTGCATCCTCTCCTTGTAGGGAGGGCCCGTGTCAGGAGGGCAGTGTAGCTTCACGAGCCTGGGCAAGCCACGTAAGCCCTCAGGGCTTCAGTCACCTTATCCAGAAAATGGGTTACCAGCACCTTGCCTACCTCAGTGTGCTGAAGGACGAATGCTCGCAGGGAATTTTCAGCAGAGGGAAGAGGGAGGGGAGGCATGTCTGAGAATCCTTGAAGGCCTTTGCCACAGCCTCCCTCCAGTCTCTCCCTCTTGGCTATCTCAGCACCAGTCTCTTCGCTAGGAAGTCTGGAGGACTGCAGGCGTCTCACCAAAAGAAATGAAGGGGTGGGGTGGGGGGTAGAAAACCTAACCCTTCTGGGGGGTATTAGCCTGAAAATGCACAGCCTTTTCCATCTCTTGGTTTGGGACTCTGAGAGTTGGCCATTCCTTGGGAAGTTAAATGCATCCCCCAAAACGAGCCCAGAGCATGCCAACTCCGTTGGGTTGGTGTGGCCTTGAAAATATGATGGTGCCAAATGAGCTGTAATAGAAGCAGGCTTTTCCCAGGCGAACATGCTAGACAGAAGCGCTTGTTTCCTCTGAAAAAGCCCAAAACTCTGACAATGGGGCTGGCATCTCCCCTACTTGGTGCTATGCTGCCAGCATCCTGGTGAGGTCCATGAGAGGCAGCCCCTTCGTTTTGTTTTAGGGGCTCTTCAGGGTCCAAGTTTAACAGGCATTTGCCATTTGCATGGCAACTCAAGTAGGGTCAGGTCCAAGTATGAAAGAATAACAAAGGCAGTTTATAGAGCATTTTCTGTGCCCGGCACTATGCAAGCCCCTTTATGCATACTATTTCACCTTCCCCAAATCGTAAGGGGTTGGAATAGTTACTACCTTCATAGAGAAATGGAGGTTCAAGAGGTGGAGGGAGTAGCTCAAGATAACTACCCAGCTAGTGGAGAGTTGAAGTGGAGTCTGTGCTTCCAGAACCCGTCCTCACTAGGCAGACAGCAGCATCCCAGAGGCAAGGCCAGCAGAGGACCTCTCTGTCCTGCATGCGGGAGGGAGAGGCCTCAGAAGCACCTGTTTAAATGGGGGAGGCATGTGGTTCTGGGTTGAAGGAGCCCCAGTCCTCCCCCTCAACCAGGCCAGATCTGTGGACCATGTGACCAGCTGTCCTGGTTTGTCCAGGACTTCCCCACTTTGAGCCCTGCTAGTCCCACGTCCCAGGTTGTGTAGGATGGTTTGTCACTGTACCTGAGGTCTCAGTCTGTCTCCCCAGACCAGCTGGGAAGGCTGAGTGGCCTGATGAGCTAAGTCAGGACACAGCCTGGGAGGCCTTTTCAATTACATTAGCTTCTGGCAGCGCTAGAGGGAGATGCTAGCCCCCGCGCCCCCACCCCCCTTCTCCTTCCTGTGGCTCTCTGGGAGATAATGATTCAGCAGCAAGTCGGAAGCAGGCTAGACTGTGACCTACGGGGAGTGGAATTACCAGCAGGGTGGGGGCTGTCAGCCCCAGCTCAGGGCATGAATTGGAGCAAGGAGGGGAGGTGGGAGAGAATGCTGAGTTGTTAGGGAACTGGACCGCAATGGAGGGCCCTGCTGTCCTGCCCAGGCCAGGACTGACGGCAGGGCAGTGGGATGGGGGCATGCCAGAGGTGGAGGAGCCCTGCCTTTTTCTCCACATGTCCTGGCAAGGTGACGGATGAGGGAGTCCCAGCTACTGGATACCCAAACTGCTGCTCAGCATATTCAGCTGCTAAAAATACAAAATGGCTCTCCTAAAAGGTGCCCAACTGGAGACCTCCAAGAGGTTTCCTGTTAGCACTATGCCTGTCTGGCTGGAGGCCAAATGCTGTGTGAAGGATTCCTATGCCTGCCATTCCCACCATTCAGTCCCAGACTCGCTGCCCCCACAGCCAGGACCTTGGCCTTCACTCCATTAACCCTGTGTGCTTCTCAGGCCCCCAGAGCCTTGTATCACCCTCCTCTACCCCTGCAACCCTCTACACCCGTGGCAGTGTTTGGGCATTTGTCTTGAGACAAGAGCAAGGTTTGGATTTTCAGGGCCCAGTTCCAACCTTGCCTACTCACTGTGTGACCTTGAACTAAGTCTAGCTTCTCTAAGTTTTGTTTTCACCTGCAAATCCAGGAGACCACACCACCTGCAGTGGGGCTGGAAGTCCTTGGTGGGAAGGGCCTACTCTGGTTGAAGGACAGGAAGGCCAAGGTACTTGTCTGGAAGCTTCCTTGGCACTGCAAGCACATTTTTCCTAATAAGCTTAGATGTTTGTTAGGGGTGGCTGGCGTCCTGATGAAGATTATGGTACAAGGACTGGAGTGTCCCTGGGCACCACTCCTTACCTACCTGTCACTCCTACCTACTGTGCTGAGCCTAAAGTTCTCAGCCAACACTGGCCCAGCCTTGGCTAGTTAGAGATGCAAACGGGGCAGTAGGTTGGGGTGAGGCCCCATGTCAGAATTTTTGACCAGCTCCAGAGATGATCCTGTTAAGTGACTAGGCTGAGCCTCACTGGGCAGTCACAGGGCAGGCACTCAGTGCCTGTGAGTTGTGTTCCTCTCGCACTCTTGAGCCTCAGTGTGCCCCCCAGTCACATGATAATGGCCTGCCTGCCTCCCCTCAGGGACTGTTGACAAGCTCAAAAAGAACCCTGCACAGCTGCAGCTGCACAAATGGGGAGAAGGTGGCCATCACTGCAAGGAAACCATCCCCTGGCTGTACTACTGGCAGCCATAGGATGGTGGTTGGGCCACTGTGGTCCCAGGCCCAGAGGGCTTCTCCTGCAGAGCCAAGGGGGGAAATAGTGGGGCAAGGGAGGGCAGATCCTCACTGCCATCCACCCCTGCCCTCCCCAGGCCTCACTCTGCAAAAAAGCCTGAGAAACAAGTTCCTGCCTTGGGAGTGGCCGGTCGGCTGGGCAGGGCATAGCCACCATGTAATGCTCTCCTCTTTCTCACTGGTGTTTCACCCCACAGTTGAGCTTCAAGGGGCACAGCTAAGCCATCCCTGGCCTCCCTCTGCCCCAGGAAAATGAGCATGCCCTTGTTCAGGCCTCCCTGGACTGCCAGGGAGGGGGAGGGGGGCAGCTTCCTAACTCCTTTTGGAGGCAACTTCGTTGAGCAGGTCCTCCTCCACCCCATCCATCCTACAGTTTTCATTCTTGCAGGTGCGCTTATAAACCACCACCCTTCCCCAGGTTGGGCAGTCTTGGGCAGTGGCTGAACCTGTTTCCTCCTTTGTAAAGGTATGTTAGGACCTTCCTCTTAGCAGGGATGTGAGGATTAAAGAAGTATGTAATATTAAGGGGGTTCTCAAGCAGGAGGGCCAGAGGGAGAAGGAGGAAGGTATCAGAAATGCAGGTCCCTGGGCCTCAGCCCCAGCATTTTGATTCACTGGGGTCTGAGCCCAAACCTTAGGAAGCACAGAAGCCTCGGAGAGGAGGAGCCCTTCGCCCTTGGCTGCGCAGGCAAATCACCGTGGAGCTTAACAAGCACCCCAAAAGCCCAGGCTATGGCCATACCTCCAGAGTAGGAATCTCAGGGGGTCTCCATGCAGTCCACTCCCTTCCCGATGAACCAAAGCCTGGCAATTGGCTATTTTTTTGATCCCCAGGAAAACACAAGGCATTTCCTCTAGTCTCCAGGTAGAACCGCACCAGCCCCTTTGGAGCACTTAACAACCTCCAGCATTTTAGAGACCGGAGAGGCTTCCCTGAGGATTGGTGAATGAATGGAAGGGGCACGGGCAGGAGGATTATGGAGACAGGGTTTGGGAAACAGCCTGATCCAGAGTCTGGGGTGGTTCCTCAGTGGAGGGCAGGGCAGGCTCCAGGCTGGGGTAGTCCAGGGCAGGTAAGTGGAGGCCAGGAGGTACTGAGGTATTGCCAAGTGACTGGATTTCAACCCAGTGCTCACTTAGAAGCTCAATGTTCTTGCAGTTGTCCCTGTAGTGTGCTGTGCCCACACCCCTACTGAACCCCCAGGTTACAGCCTGGGCCTTTCAGGAGAAAGGCCTATCTGTTGTACATTCATCCTACAGCCAATATTTATCCATCACCTACCAGGCCCCGGGGATGTCATGGGAGGAAAGAAGTGACAGTGCGACCTCATGGATCCTTGGGTCTGGGGCAGGGGCATGCTCTCATCAAAGGGTCACACAAATCTGCAATTACGGGGAGGCGAACAGGAGAGGGGAAGGATGTCCAGGAAGATAGTAAAGGAGGTGACCTTTCAGTCGTGACTTAAAAGACTGGGAGGGGAAGCACTGCAGGGCTGGGAGCGGGCTCCCAGCGTGGGGCAGGGCCTGGGTTCTAGTGCCTACCCTTCCGGGGCCCCAATTTCCCTACTCAGGAAGTGCCCGAGCACCTGCCTCGCCCGCCCCATCCGCCGGGGGCGGAGAAGGTGCCTGGGAAAGGGTACGGAGTGCCCAGGAGCCCCTCCCGTGGGCCGGGCGGGGCGGGGTCCCGAGGCTCGCGGCGGGTCGCGCCCGGAGGCGGCAGGCGCGGGACCCGCGGGCGGGCGCGGCGCGCAGTGCGTGCGGCTGCGGAGCGCGCGGCTCGTCGGCCGCCGGCATCACATGAGCAGCGGCGGCGGGGACCCAGCGCAGCCCCGGGTGGGCGCCTCGCGCCCCGGCCCGGCCCTAACCATGTCCGTCTGTTGTTGCTTCTTTTTCAGGGACTACGGCAGCTCCAAGAGGAAATCAGGTAAGGGCGCCTCCGGGCGTCTCCCCCTCCGGCCTCCCTCCCGCCGCCGCTCGCGCATTCCCGGTCCTGCGGAGGACTTTCTGGGGCTTGCGCTTGCCTGCCCGCCCTGCGGTCCTGCGGTCCTGCGGGGCCGGGCTTCTCCCTGCAGTTGCCCCCTTCCCCGGTCCACACCCGCTGGGCTGTCTGGTACTCACTCCTTCCGCTCGCACCGAGCCCCGCGGGCCCTCCCCCGTGGGATTGCGGAGTGCGGGGGTGTCTTGAGAAGGGCCTAAGCCCCCCGACGACGTCGGCGGCCGGATCCTTCACCCCCGGGCTTTGGTGCCCATTGCCGAGCACTGCCGTGACCTCTCCTGGGTCCTTTCCGCGGTGCGGCCGTGATGGAAGGGTAATGGAGACCCAAGGTTCTCTGTGAAAGGTGAGAGGCGGGACTGCAAAGGGGGTCGTACTAGAGTGCAGTGAGGTTCTGACGCCTGCAGCTCAGACCTTCCCCTCCTCCCCCAACTCTGAGCGCATTCCCCTTGCCGCGGGGGTGGGGGCTCTGCGTGGTGGCACCAGACCGGGATGGAGGGGCCGACCCGCCCTGGCATCGGCCTGACAGGTGCCAGGGCCACCGGAGTTTGCGAAGGGGGTGGAGACAGGCAGAGAGGCGGGGCACCTCGGACGCCGGGCTCAAGGCGCAGCCGCCTGGGGTCAGAAAATTTCTCGCTGGGTTGAGGAGGCGGGGCTCTGCACACGCCTGGCTGTGGACTGGCTGAAGTTAACTGGGGGAGGACGGTCCCTAGGAGTTAGGGCAGGGTGTGCAGTGGGGGAGAGGGCGGGCTGGAGCATCTGTGTGGCGGGTATTTATGGGGGTGGTGAGTTGCGAGGGTGGGCAGCCATCTGGGGATCTCGCTCTTGGGGATGTGTCTCATGTTATTGGCACCTGTAGGAAGATATATGTGCCCAAGTGCCTTGGCCAATGGGTCAGAGATGTGTGCACCTGTGTGATGGATAGGATGTGAATTGGGATAAGTATAATTGTGTGGTGCTTCTGAGGAAGAATGTTTTGTGTGTGCAAGTGCTTATGTTTGGGGACCAGGAAAGTTGTTTCCTGGTTTATGTATTGGAGGGCAGTGTGTATGTAGTGGCGCGTGTGTCCCTGTGTGGGTGTTTTCTTGTTTGAGTGCATGGGTATTTATGGAGTATGTGTGCCGTGGTGGGATTGTCTGGTCGTGGGTTGTGTGTCCGTGAGTGAGTGTGTACCTGTTTGGGGTGTGTCTGGCGTGGGATGAGATGTGTGTGTGCACATGTTGTGCAGGGGAGAGCTGTCTCCGGCCTGTCCGCCCAGTGGTACAGAAGAGTATGTCCTCTGTGAGCAGGAGTACAGGCTGTATTACGGACCTGAGGAATTGAGCATTGCCACACCTGTCACTTGTTGTCAGAGCCCCGGGAGGGAGAGCTGGGGAGGGGCAAAGCTGAAATTTTTTTTCACAGCCCCTACCCAAGAAACTTGCCCTGGGCCTCAGAGATGTACGGGGTGGACCTGGGCTCATATTCTGGCTCTGTGACCTTAGGTAAGTTTCATAAACCCTCTGCCTCAGTTTCCTCATTTTCTTTAAAACAAAGATGATACAACTACCTCATATGTAGAAGATAAAATAAATTAAGTGAAATAGTCCATCATCATCATCACCATACTGTCTGAAGCCCTGGGACCTTGGACGAGTCCCTTCTCCACTCTGGGCCTCAGTTTCCCCCCCATAAGGTCAAAGCCTGGACCAGATAACCTCTCAGGTCCCCCCATCCCCAGTCTCTGAGTCTCAGGTTCTGTGCTGCTTCCTAAACACGGCGGGGCCCCACCCAGGCTGCTTCACCCAGGGAAAAAAAACCCCATTTCCTCTGCATCCCACTGTCAGTCCAAGAAAGGGATGGAGGGAGAAATTTAGCTTACATTGGTGTGTTTATGATATTGGCCACTTAGAGTCATGGTTCAAGCTCTGGAGCCAGACAGCAGGAGCTTGAGTCTGGCCTTTCTCCTCCAAGATCTTGGGCAGTTTTCTTACCCTCTCTGCCCTATTCTCTCTCCTATAAGTCGGGGATAATATTCATATCCACCTTGTAATGGTTAATTTTATGTGCCAACTTGGCTGGGCCATGGTGTCCAAATATTTGGTGAAGCATTATTCTGGATATTTCTGTCAAGGTCTCTTTTGGATAAGATTAACATTTAAATCACTGGACTTGGATTAAAGCAGATTATCCTCTGTAATATGGGTTGGCCTCATCCAGTCAGTCGAAAGCCTTAATTGCTCTGTTCCTCTGCAGGAAGACCCGGTCTTCTTCCTTGGCCTGTTGGCTTCCACCCTTGCTGTTCTCCACACCACTGCTAGAGGGAGCTCTTCAAAACAAATCATAATGTGTTTTCCTGCTTACGTTCCCCCAAGAACTTCCCATCCCACTCAGAGTAAACTCCTTATTCCCGCTTACAGAGCCCTCTGTGCTTTGGGCCCAGCCTGCTGTCATGCCCTGGGCTCATCCCCTCTTCTGCTTCCCACCCGCCACACACACATATTCCCCTCCATCCCCAGGAACTTCTGCTCAGCCACACCAGGCACCATAAGCCATCACCTTGACCCTTACCCTCCAGATTCTTTAAGCACATCAAGCCCGTTCTGTCCAAGTGGCATTTGCACTTGCTGTTCCCTCTGCCCGGAGTGCTACTCCCTGATCTTTCATGGGGCTGGCTCCTTAAGATTTTTGCTTAACTGTCACCTCAGAGAAGCCATCCCATCCTCCACTGGCTGCTCCCTCAGGTCACCCTGCTTCTTCCCTGTATGTCACTGACCACACTCTAATTGTCTTGTGGGTCTTGTTTATTATCTGTGTCCCACCATCTTGAGAGCAGAGACCCACACTAGTAGCAAATCCCTTTGTGCTTGTTGAATGGGCAGGTGGATGGAAGAATGTGTGCATGTGTGAGTGAACCACAGGTCAGGAAAGAGAGGCCGCTGCAGCCTCAAATCGGGGGATGTTATCTGGGAAGGGGAGGGATTTCTCTGGCTGGGGACAGAGGGCAAGAGGCTTTGGTAACCAAGAGACAACACTTGCACAAAGGTGGAACAGCAGAACCGAGCATGGCTTGTTTGGATTCCAGATACTTCAGCTGACCTTACTGAGCACCAGCTCTATGCCAGGTACCGTGTAAGGTATTATGAGTTTATAGGAATGTGCCTTTCTGTCCTTGAGGAGTTTGCAATCTGCTGAGGGTGATGAAGTGTATATACGAGAATGTACTGTTAGACAGCGGGAAGCCAGGAAGTGACGTGTTTCCTGAGGAAGAGCAGTCAGGCCCAGGGTATAGCCAGCGGGGTGGGAGCATGCTGGCCTGCCCCTGCTGAGGCGTGGCAGGGAGGCTGATGCTGGCATGGAAAATAGGGGAGGGCAAGGTGGCAGGAGGTGAGAGCAGAGATGCGGCTGGGGGTGGGGGAAGTGGCACAGAACATGTAGGCCCTTGCAGGCCTCTAAAAGATTTTGACTTTCACTGTGAGGTGAAAAGGCCCTGACAGGTTATGAGCAGACTTGGCTGATCTGACTTGGCTCCCAGAAGGATGTTTCTGACTGGGGTGAGTGGAGAGGGACATGAGGGGGAGACAGGCAAGAGATGATGAGGACCCTGGCAGCAGTGCGGCTGTGGCTGGAATTCGGTGATAGGCTGTGGGCTGTAAGGGAGTTGTGTGGGTACTGGGGAGGGTCAGGTTGGCCTCCCATTCTCAGCCCCACAACGGGCCGGTCATGGGACCTCAGGCAGCTCCCTGCACCTGTTCTGTTGTTTCGGTCAGGGTGCAGCTAGAGAAGCAGAACCAGTGGGAGCAATATAGTAAGAGATTTCTTGCAAGGAATTGGCGTATATGCAGTTGTGGGGGCTGGCTAGGCAAGTCTGAAATCCAAGAGCAGGCCAGTGCCTGGTCCACAGGTGAAACCCCTTATTCAGTGAAGCCAGAGCTCTGCCTTTATGCCCTTCCAGCCGATTGACCCTTACCCTCCAAGAGTATCTGGGATAATCTCAAAGTAAACTAATTATGGACTTTATCAGATCTGCAAAATACCTTCCTCAGTAACAGCTGGAGTGGCATGCGGTTGAATAACTGGGGACTGTTGCCTATCCAGGTTGATGTATAAAACTGTCACATCTGAAGATGACAACGTCCCCATAGCAGTGACCTGGTAGTGAACCCAGAAGGTTCAAGGAGGTGAAGGGCTTTGTGCCATGGCTGGCCCAGAAAGGGCCTGTTGCTGTGATCGGCATCCTGAGCAGTGCTCCAGGAGCTCAGCGGGGGCTGAGCAGGCCCCAGAACAGGGGGTTCTCTTCAGACCTGAACAAACCAAATGGTGCTCTCAGAGTCATAGGAAAGCAGCATTTCTCCAGGGCCCGTGACTGGGAGTTCTGAACTTCGCCACGAGGGGGCGCAAGCGGCCACGGATACTGTGGGATCATCCTGGCCACGGGATTGTTGGGCGGCGGTAGGTCTGATGCTCCATCCCACCCGGAGTCCTGTGATGAGCTGCAGCTCGTTTAAATGTAAATGAGGTTGCTCAAGAGTGTTCCAAGTTTGTTCTTTTTGGGTAAGTGTTGATGTTCCTCCCGAAATCCTGTTTACTTTGTACTTTTCCTTGGAAAATTGGTGAGTTCAGCCTGACTTCTGTGTTAGTGATCACGAAGTCCGCGTCACTGGACAGTTAATGAGGTCGGTCGTACTGTAGTTTCATGGCGGTGCAGCACGTTGCTTGGAGTTAAGAGTTTAGGTTTTGGCATCAGACAGACAGGGTTTGAGCCCCGGCTCTGCCATGTGTTTGCTCTGTAACTGGCAAGTTACTCAACTTCTGACCTTCATGGCCCCATATGGAAAATGGGGATAAAAATAGCACCTGCCTCATTAAATGTAAGGACCTAAGTAGCAGAAGGGCCTGGCACATAACAAGTTCCCGATAATAGTTGCTGCCATTGTTATTATTGTTTTGAT